GCTGGGGGCGGCACAAGCGGGAAGAAGGCGGGGGGGAGCGCGCAGGAAGGAGGCAGAGAAGCGGAGAGGTTCAAGGGGTTTCGGGAAGCCATTCGCCGCGGCCGGAGCCCCAAGAGAGTCCCAGAACGGCTTCCACACGGCTCGCCGCACGGCTCGCAGATTCGCTGAACCATAAGCAGCAAAACATTTGGGAATGGTGGGGCGAGACCCCATTCCACACGGGCGCATCGCGTGGGAATTGGCCTGTGCCGACCAGAAATGGGTCGCGAGCGCCCAGGCCCTCCCCAAATCTGCAAAACATATAATGCCGGAGCAACATCGGGCCGTTTTGGTTTCATCTTGGCTGCGAGGGGCCAATCGCCGCAATTGCGGACGGGGAAGCAGGGGCGTGCAAGGGCCAACGACCAGTAGCTGGCGCTAGGGGGAATGTACCCGAAGTCACCTTTTGCTTACCAGCGGTCGTGAGCCTCAACAGTGCCTGGCTGAAAGTTAACATCGGGCAGCCCGCTTTTCGCGCGTCCGTAGACGCACTTGGGCGCAGGGGGTGGTGGCGCGACATGGGGAGGGCGACGGATGGTCAGGAGGTGGGCGATAAGGTCTGCTTGCGAGTTCCCCGCCCGTGTATCAAAAAGGCTAGCCAGAGGGGGCAATTCTTCGAGCACCTTCGACTCCCCTTTGGAATGGTCTGGGTGCTTGCGCTGGAAAATGCTGTTCCACTTGCTACGGGTGCTCGAGCTTGTGAACCTTTCTTTGCAAGTCTCTGAGAACCCCGTGGTCCTCCGCCCCTGACAGATGCATCCACGTGCAGAACAGACGTGGATCAGTAGGTCCTCGTCATGGTGGGCAATCGTGCGATGGCCTCGAGGGTTCGCCGCGATGGCTGCGGAGGCAGCGTTGTGTCCAGGGCGCGCGGATGTCTGGGGCGGGAGCTCGGACCTGCACCTCGCGCGGCACACTCTGTGCGCCCAGACGGCAGGCTTAATCCCCTTCCAGCTGTGGCCCCTGGCTTGGCCAGGTTCTGGCTGGGGAGCCTGAGCGACAGATGAAGCCCCCATCAGGATTTCCATTGCTGTCGGTGGCGCCTGCTGGCGCGAGCGGTGCAGCTGGGGGAAGGGGGGGGGCGAGCGCAGGAAGGGGATGTAGCCGCGGCTGGACCCGCTGCGGCTGCAGCCGACGCCTGGCGGGCAGGCGGCGCCC